GATTTCAAATGGAACATCTTTCAAGATTCTGATTTGTTGATCCCCAATTTTCAGGGGTGTTGCTGACGTAGACCTTAAAATTTGATCCCTGAGACGTTGTTTTGAAAATTTCACCACCACTTCAGCTGGCAATTTATTTCTCCTTGTATAGTTGGAGTAGGCCCGATAGGCCAAGTCCATCTCATCTTTTATTTTATCCGCTTCAATGCCAACCAGTGGTGCAAGGGCAGTTGCTAAAATGTCTCTAAGGCTCTCTCCATCTTCCTCTCTTAGCCCCTGAAAGCGAAGAATAAGGTTGGATTTTTCCATTTGAAGCATAAGCAGCTTGTTGTCTTGCCTTTCTTGATGCTTTCCCACTTTTTGGACCTTCTTCTTAACTGTCTGTACATCTTCTGCTGATTGAAGGCATTTTTTTACAGTATCATCCATCTTCTCAGCTACCTCTGTTATCTTCTTTTGCTGTAAGCCCAAAGCATCTTCAACAGAATCCAGTTTCTTATTTATTTTTTGCAGTTCTGCCAGCAGATGGCGTGCAAGATCAGTGTCAGGTTGATTGGCAGCAGCTCCAGAACTGGAGGGACTGGGACAGGAAGTCCCGCCTGTCTTCTTTCAAGAACAGCTCTTATCAGAACTATGGCTTACCCAAGGTCATCCAGCAGGTGCAAGTGGAGGAGTGGGGAATCAAACCCGGTTCTCCCAGATTAGAGTCCATGCACTTAACCACTACACCAAACTGGCTCTCTCTCACCAAAAAAGAGGGCCGTTCTCATGACTGTAACTAAAAATTCTCAGCTGTGCATCTTCTGGCATTCTGTAATCATACAAAGGAGTTCCAGAGCAGCGACTGAATATTTGCCTCTCTGCCAATTCCTTCCTCCCACCCAACCAGTGTTCCCTCTAAGCTGAGTCAGTGTCAGCAAGTTCACAATTTTTTAGCCTCCGGCTCACACATTTTTGTCTTGGCTCAGGAAGGAGGGCTCCAGAGAAACTAAATTATGCAGCGGCCCAATCGCTCGCTCACAACTTTAATGCCAGGAGCTCACAAAGCAGAATTTTTTGCTCACAAGACTCCACAGCTTAGAGGGAGCGTTGCCCCCAGCCCAACACCTTTACCTGGGCTTTCATTCCACCTCAGATGATGATGATATTCAAGAAAAAGGAACCATTTCTGCTCTTGAATTCATCCTACAGAATCCGGCCACTGCCTTTGCCCGATTGGCGAGTCTATAATGTTTTATTTAGTTATTTATTTGTTCGTTAAATTGATATCCCGCCCTTCCCAAAAGTGGTCTCAAGGCGGATAGTATCAAAATCCTTTCTATAACTGTAAAAGTTCTTTCTATAACTGTCAGAGTGGCTGAGCAGTGGAACAGTCTGCCTCGGGAGGTGGTGGATGCTCCTTCGCTGGACGTTTTCAAGCGGAGGCTGGACGACCCTCTTTCGGGTATGTTGTAGGTATGTAGGTATGTAGGGCTCTCTTTCGGCTCTGCTCCTGCAGAGTGCCGGGGGTTGGACTAGATGACCTGCAAGGTCCCTTCCAACTCTAACATTCTATGATTCTAAAATACATAAGCACTTAAGACCAATTAATGCAATCCATTCCTAAAACAATTAAACAAGTGGAAGCTGGTGAAATATATCTCAGGAGGACTCCTGGTAGGTGGTAACGGGGATTCCCACCAGCTATATAATACCAGTAATCCACTTGGGCAGTTGATCAGGATGGCTTATTTGCAGGGAGGCTAACAAGTTGGGTGACCAAGCAGGGGTCATTTCGCAGAAAAAGAGGTACAGGAGCTCATTAGCTTAACTCATTAGCATGACTCATTTGCATGTGCCACACTCCCTGACATCACCGGAAGTGTGTCAGAAGGCAACGCCCACCGCTCAGGCTCCACTGGACTGTTTTGGATTGCTAGCTATTGGGGGGAGGGGAACGTGCAGATCTGCCCTCGCAGAGGAGGGAGAGCTTGTACCTGAATAAAATTTGGTCTTTAAGGTGCCACTGGACTGTTTTGGGCCGGGGAGGCGGAGGGCTCTGCAGCTTACCTGGCTGCTTCTTGCTCTGACTGAGGGCTGCTGGGAGCAGGGGGTGGGGCTTGTTGCATGTGCCCGCCCCCTGGGCTCTTTACTGCCAGAGCGGCGCTCCTGTGCGTTCCTGCAGGAAATGACCCCTGAGTGTCCACCGCCAGTTTGGTGCAGTGGTTAAGTGTGCAGACTCTAATCTGGGAGAACCGGGTTTGATTCCCCACTCCTCCACTTGCACCTGCTGATGTGACCTTGGGTCAGTCACAAGCTCTGGCACAGCTGTCCTTGAAAAAGAGCAGTTTCTGTCAAGAGTTCTCTCAGCCCCACCCACCTCACAGGGTGTCTGTTGTGGGGAGGGGAAGGGAAAGGAGTTCGTAAGCCGCTCTGAGACTCCAAGTGAAGCGCGGGGTATAAATCCAATCTCTTCTTTTTCTTCTTCTTCAACTAAAAGCCTGGCGGAACAGCTCCATTTTGCAGGCCCTGTGAAACTGCAGTAGGTTCCGCAAGGCCCTGATCTCAAGTGGGAGCATGTTCCGCCAGGTGGGGGCCAGGACAGAGGAGGCCCTGGCCCTGGTTGAAGCTAAGTGGATGTCCTTTGGGCCAGTATATGCGGACAGACGGTCCCTTAGATATGCTGGTCCCGGGCCGCTGAGGGCCTTAAAGGTTAATGCCAACACCTTGAAATGGATCATAGGAAAGTTTTCCCAAGGGTCCCACCAGTCCGATCGGAACATTTTAGGGTTGTCGAACATTAAAACGTTTCAACAACCAGGTTTACCATTTATATGTTTAAAGGTTTCCCAAGGCAGTTTATTTATGTTTGTTTATATATTTATAAATTTATATAT